TTTTCCTCTTTTTCTGTTTAACAGAGAGCAGATTTTTTTAAACACATTTCAAAACAACTGATTTAATAATAGCTGATTTATTTTATCTTTGTCATGATGACAGTAAATAATATTAGACTTGATATTTTTCAAGACACTTCTATACAGCTTAAAGTGACATTTAAAGGCTTAACTAGGTTAATAAGGTGAACTAGGCAGGTTAGGGTAATTAGACAAGTTATTGTATAACGATGGTTTGTTCTGTAGATCATCGAGAGAAAATATAGCTTAAAGGGGCTAATAATATTGACCTTAAAATGTTTTTTTTTTTTTTTTTTAAATAAAAACGGCTTTTATTCTAGCCAAAATTAAACAAATAAGACTTTTTCCTGAGTAAAAAATATTATCAGACATACTGTGAAAATTCACTTGCTCTGTTAAACATCATGTGGAAAATATTTAAAAAAAGAAGAAAAAAAATTGAAGGGGGCTAATAATTCTGACTTCAACTGTGTATATATATATATATATATATATATATACAGTATATATATATATGTCCTGACAAGTCTTGTCACCTATCCAAGCAAATAATAAGTTGGCTTCTAGTTGATGATTTGGTGTCAGAAGTGTCTTATATGAAAGGTAAAGGCCTCTAGATGATGCTTATTTGAGCACAATAAAATCTGATCATGTCTTGATTATTAATGATTTCTTAGACATCATTAAAGAACATCTGATTTTTCAGCTTTTTTATTTTATTAAATTTTCTCTTTTTCCACATTGTCATTATGGGGGATTGAGGAATGTTAAGGAAGTAAATGAATTTAATCCATTTTGGAAGAAGGCTGTAACAAAGAAATGTGGACAAAGTGAAGAGCTATCAACACTTTCCGGATGCACTGTACACTATAATAAACTCTTGATTAAATCTTACAGTCACAGCAGGTCTTAAAGACACATTTAAATTAAAATCTTCTACTTTTTTAAAGCTTAAACTTAGCGATGACCCCAAGAATCATGTTCTGAAACTGTGGTCCTGATCAATTATATCCCCAACTTGACACTGCTGATCCTGCGATGCGACTGTTGCACGTTCACACATTTTGATATCGATGCTGAAACAATACACTGTGCAGCCCAAGCACATGCGCTACAGGTGAACCGTATAAACCAAACTGGCTATAGTGTGTGTGAGTGTGAATGCGAGACGTTATGGGTGTTTCCCAGTACTGGATTGCAGCTGGAAGGGCATCCGCTGCGTAAAACACATGCTGGAATAGTTGACGGTTCATTCCGCTGTGGCGACCCCCAATAAATAAAGGGACTAAGAAAAATGAATGAATGAATATGCAAGTAAAATCACACACACAACATTGGTTTGACCACAATAACTACAGGTCAGGGGTGTTTCTTCCTGGCAGGAAGTTTCTAGTATATCTAATAAGAGCTTGATTAGAGGATTCAGGTGTGTTTGATTAGGGTTGGAGCTGAACTCTCCAGGACTGAGTGTGGACGGCCCTGCTATAGGTGAGTTGAATAAACTAAATTGGCTAAAGTGTGTGCGAGTGTGAATGCGAGACTGTATGGGCAGTACTGGGTTGCAGCTGGAAGGGCATCCGCTGCGTAAAACATATGCTGGATGAGTCGGAGGTTAATTCCACTGTGGCGACACCTGATGAATAAAAGGACTAAGGAAAATGAATATGCTAATAAAATCACACACAACATTGGTTTGACCACAATTACTATAGGTCAGAGGTGTCCAAACTCAATCCTGGAGGGCCGGTGTCCTACTGAGTTTAGCTCCAACTTACCTCAATACACCTGCCTGGGATGTTTCTAGTATATCTCATAAGAGCTTGATTAGCTGATTTAGGTGTGTTTGATTGGAGCTGAACTCTCCAGGACCGAGTGTGGACGGCCCTGCTATAGGTGAATTGAATAAACTAAATTGGCTAAAGTGTGTGTGAGTGTAAATGCGAGACTGTATGGGTGTTTCTCAGTTCTGGATTGCAGCTGGAAGGGCATCCGCTGCAGAAAACACATGCTGGAATAGTTGACGGCTCATTCCGCTGTGGCGACCCCCAATAAATAAAGGGACTAAGAAAAATTAATGAATGAATATGCAAGTGTGAATGCGAGACTGTATGGGTGTTTCCCAGTACTGGGTTGCAGCTGGAAGGGCATCACTGCATGAAAAATATGCTGGAATAGTTGGCGGCTCATTCCGCTGTGGCGACCCCTGATGAATAAAGAGACTTAGGGTGCTTTCACACCTGTGAATGGATTCAGTTGTTCTGAAACAGAGATTACAAATGTTACATTGTTGCTCTTTGCTCTTGGAGCGGTTCACTTTCACACTGCAAAGTTTCTAATCGGACCAAAAGAGCTAAAACAAGTCACGTGTGAGTAAACTCTCCTCACATTAGTCAGAGTGTCAGGGTTTATTTTGCAGCGTCCCGCTCAGCTGTCAGGAGAGGTGGTGGTTTGGTGGTGATTGACAGGGTGCGTGCGCGACGTGTCTGAGGAGAGATGCAGTGGGGAGGGGTGAGAAGGGTGCGTGATGATGCCTATTTGAGGACCGGGAGGGAGACGCGAGATTACCGGGAGATCATCACTCGTTTGCGGGCATCCGGAGACTCGCGAAACTTCCCGCCATACTCATAATTCTCTGTTCATATAGTCGTAAGCCTATTACATATCCATAAAACACTGTGATATAACCGCGCTCGGATCGGATCGCTTTCTCACTGCAATCGAACCGCTCCAGGGTTCGTTTCAACCAAGCCGAGACCACCTCACTCAGGCGATCTCGAAGCGATTACTTTGGCGCGAACAGAGCGCGATTGCCCTGTTCACATATGCCAAACGAACCGCGCTAACTGGGCAAACGAGACACGTTCCGAAACAAAAGTGTAGGTGTGAACGCACCCTAAGAAACATGAATGAATATGCAACTAAAATCACACACACAGTCACACACACAACATTGGTTTGACCACAATTATTTTAATTTTGTATCTCAACCTTTTACAGAGTAACAAGTAACAAAAACAAGCAAAACATGTTTAAATCAGCATAAACTCACACGCTCGCTTCATGCTCTAATTACAAAATGATGATGAGGAGGAGGAAACGTCACAGCAACGTTAATGAAACGTCTTTCTGTCTGAGAGAGAGACTGAAGGGCATCGGGGAGGATGACGAGACTTTAAATACGGAAGATGAGTGTGTTTGTGTGTGTCAGAGGTCCCATTTTCCTGTGTGTGTGTGTGTGTGTGTGTGTGTGTGTATATGTGAGAGTGCATGAGTGTGTGTGTGTCTATGCGTCGTAGTTGGGGTTTTTGCGCAGGATGACGAAGCCTTCCAGGATGGGTGTGACAGGGATGAACTCCTCTGTGGCCAGTTCTGCTCTCTCCCCGTGGGCCAGCAGCACCGGCGTGGTGTGTGTCTGGAAACCGGTGATGGCTTTGGGTTTACCAGCCTGACCGACCACATCTACTGCCTACACACACACACACACACACACACACAGAGGACAATAATCAGAATAAACCAGAGGTCACATTCAACAACACTTCTATTACACATGCACATTTACATACAAACAGACAGGGGTCAGACAAAGGGAAACGTGCATTGTTCTCTGATGAGTCACAGTCTTTCCCACATCCAGGAGAGTTGTGGTGTGGAGAAGCCCCAAAGAAGTGCAACACCCAGACTGTTGATGCCCAGAGTGAAGCATGGGGGTGATCAGTAACGCCCCATTCACACGGGGCTTCAGCGTCAGCGCTTGACTGAAGGCGTGTCTGAAGTTGGGGCTGAAGTGATCGTCATAGCAGCGTCAGCCAATGAATCTGATCCGATCTGATTGGCCGACGCTTACGTCGTCGCTTGAAGAGTTGAGCTAGTCCCAACTTCTGCAGTGAGCAATGCCTAGGAAGCAGCACCGATGGATACACAATGCAATTCGGCATCGCCTGACGTCACCCATTCAAAGTGAATGGGAAGCGTTGATGCTGACGCCTCGTGTGAATGGGGCATAACGGTTTGGGCTACGATATCATGGCATTTCCCAATACTTGTGCTAAATAGGCGCTGGGTCACTGCCAAGGACTACCCAGCTCTGTAGGACCATGTGCCCAATGGGTTAAACATTGTATCCTGAAGGAGGTGGTGTGTATCAGGAAGAAACACACACAGGAACTGGTGGGGGCACTAAGGCACTCGGCCTGCAGCCTCGTGTATATATATATATATA